TTATAAGACTGTTATAATGAAAATATGTAGTTTCATTTAAAAATACTTCGATGACTTTAAAATCTCGAAAAAGACTGGCCTTGAAGAAATTTTTTGCCTATCACCACATTTGTCCCTTCAAACCGAATATTCTCTTCCTCTGATATTTTTTCCTATCATAAAAAATAACCGAGATATTTAAGATGATCAAGTTAGGTAAAATACCCTGTAGAAGATTCTTTATTAAACGAAAATTCCTCCATTTAAATTTCCTCTTCCTTGTATCCTAGCACGTCTTTTATTTTTCGAAGTATGTAATTACTCCCCAATCGTCATAGGTCTAATAATTAAACCAAGTGACGTTATGCACGCAAAGGAAAAATGTGTCGCCAAATGCTAAAAATGTTTGAAATTATGGCTAAGCTGACGATGACATAGAGTTAACGGTTTTACAGGTAATCCACATGTTTTAAGTTTAAGGGAAAGCCGTTTTCACTAAAACTTTTTCTATACATCAGTTGAGATCGACAATTTGACCGTTAGGTGGGCATCATAAACTTTGACTGTTTCAATGCATTTTGCTCTTGACCACGCGTATTATTACGCGAATATTTCACCAACTATCTGAAATATTTTCAAATATTTCAAATTATTTCAAACAATAAACGAAAATATTACTTCTGAAAATTGTAAGCTTTAAAAAGAAATGCATAATATGATAACAATAATTTCTTTACAAGTAGAGATGTCAAAAAGATTAGGAAGACGCCAAAGCTGTTTTTGTCAAATGGAATATTCAATTTTTCATGTTTAAATTCGATAGAATAACGAGCTCTTAGCATAGAAGTACTAAGGCATATTTGTCCTAAAATTTATCGTACCCGAGATACTTGGCGTCATTTGGCTTTTCGATTGTGTAATCATGAAGTCAACCAAATTAAATTTCATGCCATTTCTTTTATTTATTTTAATGAAATAATAAGAATATAAATACAGTAGTAATATGATAATTGAACTCGATACGAAAATTAAATACAGCGAAATAACCTGATCATATCTTGATCAGTTTTTCTTAAACAACTGACCGAAACGTAGCACCGTTGAAGAATACAGGAAAACGAGTTATATCAATCTACTAATTACCATGAGACAACCAATAACTGTGTGGTTATAGAACAACAAAATTTATGTATTTAAAAATTTTTCACTTTGTCAAAATTTCTACTTGAACCAATTCTAAAAAATAATAATAAATTTTAACAAATTCATCTATTAATCAAAACTGAGACTTTATGAATTCTGTGAATGAAATTTAGTAGGATTTATAGTTGATATAAAATGCTAGTGTACAAATGGGATGTTCTTCCATGTTGACAATTACAAAGAATGCTAAAGCTAAAGCGGCGGTTCTTAACCTTTTGTTTACCACGAACTTTCCTTTACATAATTTTTCGTTGCCGTGGATCTCCAAGACTTACTTCAAAATTTAAATAAGTTAATTCAAGATCTAATGTGTCAAATATGTATGTAGTTATTATATTCATCAACTGCTCATCAACAACCTTCAAATTTGAAGAAGAGAGATTCATTATAAATCTAATACATATACCAAATATTTTTTATTCAAATAATACATTAATAATCACAGGGTAAGAACCGTTAAAGTATCTCAGTTTTTTTTTTTAATTTATACTTTGCAATTTCTCCAGCTGGACATTCGGTAAATTTTTCTAGCTTTATTGCTAATTAACATGTGGATGGCTACCCCTAGCGGGATACCATCTTCGAGTGAGAGTATCTCAATATCCCAGACAGGCGTCACACTTGCATTGGAATTCGTTTAGCCCACGATACAGCAAAGGGGAAGACTTCATACATGGCACCTTTCCTCAAGCAACACAATGTTGCATTTTATACCATAAATAACATTATTTAGAACATTATAGCCAAAGATCAGAATTGTTGAACGATATTCAAATTATTATTAAAGCTACTTCAGAAAATATGGTTTTAAGGAAAATGCGTTTAACATTTTCCTCATCCTCATACTATCAGTTACTTGTGATACATAATACATACGAAAATAAAACATTTTTAATTCATAATTTTGATTTTTTTTAATACTTTTATTTTTCCTATGGATATTTAAACCTTCTACATTATTTTTAATTCGATTGTGGAACATTGATAATACATTTAAAGGCATATATTATTCTTAAGAATAATTTATTTATATATATAT